GGTTTTGGTTGCTAAGGAAAGCTGGAGGCTGAAATATTGAGTAGCTTATAAATAGCCTCTGCCACAATAACTAACTTTCCTAAATTTTCAATTGATAAATAATACTTTGTTCCTATTGTTTTCTGATGCTTTCTTTATAGTTCATGCATAATTTTATATCATGAACCTCTAAGGCATGAATCTGTTTCACTGATCCATCCATATATATTTCTTTCTTATGCTGATTTAATTGTTATGATTTATATCATGTTTTCTCATTGTGAGGTTGGGGTAGGATTATCCATTATCATCACTTTTCTTTTCAAGATATTTTTCTTAACTATTTTTAGCCAGTGGAGTGTTCTACATAGTCTGAAGTTGTTTCGCCAAATTACAGATAAAATCCCTGAATTTAAGAATTGAAATTTGAGAGAGGACTTCAAATCTTAACAGAACTAAATCTTACCATAAAAAATTATATAGGTTTCCACTTATTTGCATTTTAGTACCATATATTTTATATAAAAAGGTAAAGGTAAAGCCCTCCCGTTGATCGTTGATTTGCTCGAGCGGGCCCAGTAACGTCTCCATTGAAGACTTTGTTGTTACTGTGTCTGGCATATTGAATACTCTCGGTAGCTTGCCAGGGCTCTCCGAGGGGGGCAGAGGAATCGAACTCGGGTCGGCCATGTTGGCTGCATGCAAGGTTAACGCCCTTATAGGATATCGTTTTTATGTCTTTTGGTTTTTGTACCACATCCATCAGTGCTCGGGGCTACTCCTAGCTTTATGTTAATGAGTAACTCCTGGCAGTGCTCAGGGGACTATATGTGATGCCAAGGATTCGAACAATGGTCAGCTGCATGCAAAATAAGTGTCTTCCTATTCCTGTTTTGTTTTGTTTTCTGTTTGGGGGCCACATCCAGTGGCACTCGGGGGTTATTCCTGGCTCTGTGTTCAGGACTTAACCCCGAGAGCTCATCATATTCTGACATTATAAATTTTCTACATGTTTTTGGATATTATTAATAATTGTACCTATATGTCAAAGCATTTGTGATCAATATTAAGATGTAGCACTGTAGCACTCCCATTGTTCATTGATTTGCTCGAGGGGGCACCAGTAACGTCTACATTATGAGACTTGTTGTTACTGTTTTTGGCATATTGAATACGCCATGGGGTGCTTGCCAGGCTCTGCCGTGTGGGCTAGATACTCTCAGTAGCTTGCTGGGCTCTACGAGAGAGGCAGAGGAATTGAACTGAGGTCGGCCGCGTACAAGGCAAATGCCTTACCCACTGTGCTATTGCTCCAGCCCCTATATTAAAGATACATTGTATATATTTGTTCCAATGATTTTATTTTGTAACTTTACTTTGGGGTTTGGGATCACACTGGCAGTTCTTGAGAACTGTGTGATGCAGAGAATAAACCACGTCAGCTGCATGCATGCTATTCACCTTTCTCCACCCCCTCTCACCCACTATTATATAGTTCCAATTGTTTTATGGTCCCTGACTTGCATATCTAGAATTAATCCCAACATTTTCCTTTATTTCAATGGTGATTTTAAATTTCATGCGTTGATGCATTGGCCATATTTCCTGAAATACTGCTAATTAGTCTTGGTGTGCTCATCGCCCTTTAACCTGATTCTAGAAGTAATGACTTAAGTTCACACTTACAATGCCCATTGTTCTGAGGGGAAATTCTTCTTATTTTTAAGACATCACTTTCACTTTGCATTCCTCCTGTATTTTTAAGAGGAGGAATGACTTTCTAGTATCCACTATCCACTATGTCTTTTTTTTTGGGGGGGGGGGGGTTGGCGGTCACACCCGACAATGCACAGGGATTACTCCTGGCTCATGCACTCAGGAATTACTCCTGAAAGTGCTCTGGGGACCATATGGGATGCTGGGAATCGAACCCAGGTCGGCCGTGTACAAGGCAAACACCTTACCCACTGTGCTATCGCTCCAGCCCTCCACTATGTCTTAAAGGTGATTTTTTTTCAAGTTTGCCATTTAACCTTTATTTCTATTTCCAACTTTTATTTTATTGAAGCACCGTTAGTTATAGTTGGGATTTTGACATACAATGTTCTATTACAGATCCTGCCACCAGTGTGAATTTTCCTCCACCAGTGTTCCCAGATTTCCTCTCCTGCCACCCCCTCACCCCACCCCCTGCCATCCCCACCCCAGCCTGCCATCTTGACAGGCACCATTTAAATTTAGTTATTAGAGCTTCGGTCTTGAGATTTTGGTGTTGTTGACTCTATGGTTTGGATATTTAGCTCTATTATTCCTTAATACCCTTATGTACTTGGATTCCCTTGAGCCCTGGCCCCCCATTATTTCTCATCTATCTTGTCCCCCATTCCCCTTAAATGGGATTTATTAATACAGAATGCTATGTGGAGCTTGATTATTTTATCTGAAACCATTACAAAAATTTTAAGTCAGAGGTCATAATTCGTTTACAACATTCAATTTTTTAATACTCTGGTATCTTTGTTGGGCCTTTTGCAGGTAATTTCGAGCTCTCAATTAATTTTGCAAATAATTGTATTGGGATGGAGGCCAGAAAAGAGCAAAGGAAAGGAAGGGAAAGGGGAATGAAAGTGATATTTCTGGAATTTTTAACCAAGTACTCTCTCTCTCCACAAAACAAACTGTGTGGTAATTCCAGCTTTTCTTCCTCTAAGAGAATTTTTTTAAAAATAGGCATTGCGCCACCGAGGATTTGCAAAAAAAAAAATTCAGTCCCGGAATATTTGGCCTGGATCTGTTTGGGGAGGTAAGGCTTTGGAAGCATTTTTCAGAGCAGGAGATAACTGGAGGGCTGAGACTTTCTACCTCTACACATGGCGATCAACATTTCTGAGATGCTGATCTGGGGAAGTATTCGGAAAGGCAAACCTAATCTCGGAATGGATTCCAGAAGGCAAACATTCCAAGAGCAGGGGCCCACATTGGCGGTCTGCTCTCACTGTGGCATGCTTCCGTGGGATACCTCCTCATCCCTTGCACTGGGCCCACCAGGTGGAAGATCTAGAATCTAGGGCCTCATCTGAATGATCCAGAGGCAGAAGAGAAGACACAGGAATCCAAGCACCTCAGCCATGCATTTATTTACCCAGACTCCTACCCTGTGGCCACTGAGAATCTCCTGAGCACAGTGGCCTCAAAGTAAGAAGACCTTTGTCTGACTCAGCTGGCCCAAACCAAGCTGGACACTGATGTGGAAGAACCTATCCCTCTGAGCAGGAAAATGATCAAGCAGATTCAAATTCTTCATGTCTTTCTACCGCCTTCCAGATTCTCTGCCCTCAGCATCATCCAGGACCTTCCCACAATCTGGTTCATGCACATGTGTCATTCAACTGAGGCACAGAGAAGCCTTTTCCTGTCCCCAAGCCAGGCCTGGCATCTGGTTTCTGATATCCTGCATCTCTGTCTCTCCCACTCCCCAGCCTTGAGCTGGCGTTTCTGTGTGGCCACATCATGGGAGTACGTGTGTGGATGGTCACTTGAATGGTACCCAACAGAGATCATAGCACAAGGACCCGAGCTAGTGTGTTGTGGATGGAGGGATGCACGAATGATTAGTTGACAGTTGTTTGCAGTTGAGATCAGACTGCTGTCACATCTACTGGAAGCAAATGGCTTCTCTGAGTTCAGGAAGCGAAACAGACTTTGGTGAATGATCACAGTCATGGTCTCTCAGCCAGAGCTCCCTGGCAGCTGGGACCCATCAGCCAAGGGCAGTTCGACTGTTTGTAGAACTGGAATCCTTAAAATGTTGGCTGTTAGGAGAGAGCTTAATGCCATCTTGCCTCTGATGTGCCATTTGTGAGTTAGAGGGCTGCCTCTGGTCCTTTCAGTTCATGTGAGAAAACCCAAGGCTGACCACAGCCGCCTCAGGCAGATGCCCCATGTCCCTGCAGTGGGCCTCAGGGCAGGTTGAAACAACTTACAGGCACTGATGACCACAGTGTTGGTAGATTGGCCTGTACTGATCATGACCATTTAGGGCATTGTCAGTTCTTACCAACCAGTATTTTTAGAAGAGTGATCAAAAGGGGTTCCATATTTTCAGGTTTAGCATCAACCCTGTTTCATTGGAATTAAGGAAATTCTTCAACTTAAAGAAAAGGAAGGGGGCTGGAGAGATAGCATAGCGGGTAGGGTGTTTGCCTTGCATGCAGCCGACACGGCTTTGATTCCCAGAAATCCCACATGGTCCCCTGAGCACCGCCAGGAGTAATTCCTGAGTGCAGAGCCAGGAATAACCCCTGTGCATCACCGGGTGTGACCCAAAAAGCAAAAATAAATAAATAAATAAAAGTGAGACATGGGGTAAAAGTAATGGGGGGTAAAATAAATAAAAGTGAGACATGGGCTGGAGAGATAGCACAGCAGGTAGGGCTTTTGCCTTGCACACAGCCACCATGGCCAACCCAAGTTCGATTCCTCCGCTCCTCTTGGAGAGCTCGGCAAGCTACCAAGAGTATCTTGCCCGCATGGCAGAGCCTGGCAAACTACCCGTGACGTATTCGATATGCCAAACACAGTAACAATAAGTCTCAGGATGGAGACGTTACTGGGCCCGCTCGAGCAAATCGATGAACAATGGGAGGACCATGACCGTCTGTTTTATGGGGTAAAAAAATCCTTAAAAAAAAAAGAAAAGGAAGTTTGGGGGTCAGAGCAATAGTACAGCAGATACTGCCTTGCACACAGTTGACCTCGGTTCGATCCTGGACATCCCATATGGTTCCCTAAGCCCACCAGGAGGACACCCTGAGCAACACCCGGTGTGACCCCTAAATAAAAAAATAAATGAATGAATAAGGGAAGTTAATGTAATTGGTAGTAGTAATAGTAGTAGATGTAATAATGATAGTGATGATAAAAGACAATAGTATTGGATGAATTAGCAATGATGACGGCAGTGGTAGTAACTAGTATTACCAGCAGTGGTTGATGGTGACGGTAAGGTTAACTAGTGGTGGAAGACTGTGCTTTCAGTGATCATCTCTATAGTTCATTCCTAGAGAAGTTCTCAGATGTGTAGAGCACCCAAAACCACGGGGAGTAGCCAGAGCATCCTCTCCTGAGCATAAAGTCAGTTCCAGGAGTTGCTTTCACAAACGCCTTTCACAAGATGGTTCTCCTCTTCCCTGGGAAGAGGGAGAGGGAGAGGATGCAGGCTGAGTGGCTTCTTTAAATAAATAAATAAATAAATAGAAGATCAGTAGTGGGGCTGGAAGAATGTCAATGGGCGAGAGGGCAGGAGACCCAGGTTCGATCCTCAGCACAGCGTTGACCCCCACTGGGCACCACCAGGATTGACCCCACAAACTAAATCAAGAGTATCTCCTAAGAAGCGTTTGGCATGGCCCCAAAACAAAATCAATGTGTGAGAGGTAGTGACAGTAATGTTATTTAGCAGTGGTGGCAGTAGTGGTGATTATGATGGTAATAGCAGTGAAAGTAGTACTAGGAGAAGCGGTGGTGATGATGGGAATGGAAGTGGTACTAGAAGTAGTAGTGGTGGCTACGGTAGTAGTAAAAAGCAGTAGTAACAGAAGTAGAAGCAGTACTGGTAATGGTAGTAGACAGGAGTACTAGAAGTGGTTGTGGTAGCTATAGTAGTGGTAATAAGCAGCAGTAATAGACGTAGTAATAGTACTGGTAACAGTAGAAGGCAAGAGTACTAGAGTAGTAGTGGCAGCTCTAGTAGTAGAAATAAACAATAGTAATAGAAGTAGTCGCAGTGCTACTAATGGTAGTAGGCAGTAGTGCTAGAAGTAGTAGCAGTGGCTATTGTGGTGGTAATAGGCAGTAGTAATAGAAGTAGTAGTGCTGGTGACAGTAGTAGGCAAGAGTACTAGAAATAGTAGGGGTAGCTGTCGTAGTGGTAATCATGGTCACGGTCCTCCCATTGTTCATTGATTTTGCTCGAGCGGGCCCAGTAACGTCTCCATCGTGAGACTTGTTGTTACTGTGTCTGGCATATCGAATACGTCACGGGGAGCTTGCCAGGCTCTGCCGTGCGGGCGAGATACTCTCAGTAGCTTGCCGGGCTCTCCGAGAGGGGCAGAAGAATCTAACTCGGGTCAGCCATGTTGGCTGGGTGCAAGGCAAACGCCCTACCACTGTGCTATGACTCCAGCCCAGTAGTGGTAATAAACAGTAGTAATAGAAGTAGTAGCAGTGCTGGTAACAGTAGTAGGCAGAAGTACTAGAAGTAGTAATGGTGGCTCTAGTGGTGGTAGTTAGCAGTAGTAATAGAAGTAGTAGCAGTGCTTGAATGGAAGCAGGCAGGAGTACTAGAAGTAATGGTGGTGATGGTAACTGCAGTCAGCAGTAATACTAGTAGCAGCAGCAGTAACAGTGAATGAAGGCAGCAACAGTAATTGCGGTGCTAGTGGTAGTGGCGGTTAAAGTCGTGATCCTATTTCCAAGACAAAAGTTAGAATGAAGTGCTATTCTGATAGTTTTCATATCAAACATGCCCAAGAGGTCAGGGATTAATGGCTGGCAAGAGTCAGCTCCACACACAGAATTCCCTTAACATCTTGCCATTATCTTTACAATCCAGGCAAAATTCTTTCGGTGCCACATCATGTGTCAGTATTTTCTTATTCCTCCTCCCTCTGCAAAATAAAATGAGCACTCTGAAGATAAATCTGCTCCTGGAACCAGGGCCAAGTTCATCTGAGGCTTCCAGAAGCCCTTGCATACCACCCCCCTCATCTCCAAGGCCCCTTGGGTGCTGTGCCCTCATTTGCCGTTTCTTTACTACTCCAGATGGTATGAGATCAGAGAGAGACAAGCCCAGAAGCTCCACGTTACAAGAGTAGTTGGCACAAAAGCCAGAACCAAAAACTACCAGTAACCCCCTGGAATGAGATGGTCACTGTTTTCCCTTTTGGGGGTGGGGGGAAAAGGGGCATGAGAGAAGAACAGGAGCTGGAGTTTTGTCTTAACTCTGGTGACAGGCCCTAGGAGCTGGTCTCCCAATATCTCCCGGTACTTCCTAATTCCACAGTGTCCTGGATCCCCATCCTGCCAGGATTGTCATCAGTCACTGTTTCTCCCACTCAAGTGCCGTGACGCTTGGCTTGTGCTTTCAGCCCGCCAACCCTGCCACAGCCTGTCTCGACAGAGACGTGTTTTCAGCTAAGGAGAACGGATCCGAATTTGATTGTATCTTATCCGCGGTTCAGGCCGAGATGTCATTCAGGAATTTGTAGATAAGGTGACGCAGAATGTTTTCCGAGATCCTGGGGAGTTCTGGTAAAGGCACTGAGAGATTTGGGACACTGTCCTGAGTCCGAGCTGGAGAGGGTAACAATCAGACTGAACCCCAGGTTCCTGGTGGCTGCTCTGATTCTGGGGGCACTCAGCATCCATAGCCTATGTGAGTTTCCACCCCAAATCTGGGTGAAGATACCCAGGCCTCTCTTCTTTTATGTTCTAAAGACCCTCCCTATTTGGACCAACAGACCAGGTCGTCATCTGCGGCAGAGAGGAGGACACTTCATCTCTGAGTCGCCTTCCTGTTTGCAAGGTTTTGAGTCGGAAATTATCTGTACAGTCTGAACTACTGAGATACCTTATAACCCCCCATGAAAATAGATAGGGGAAAATCCTTTAAATATTTGATGTGGGGTCAGGGTGATGGCACAACACGTAAGGCATTTGCCTCGGCACGCAGCTGGTCCAGGTTTGCTCTCCAGCACTCCACGTGTTCCCTGGGCCTGCCAGGAGTAATCTCTGAGCACAGAGCCAGGAGTAAGCCCAGAGTACTTCTGGGTATGGCTCAAAAAGAATAAAAAATGATAAACATAAAACACTAACCATTGAAAAGAGGGGCCAGAGCGATAGCATAGGGGGTAGGGTGTTTGCCTTGCACTCAGCCGACCTGGGTTCGATCCCCAGCATCCCATATGCTTCCCCAAGCACCGCCAGGAGTAATTCCTGAGTGCAGAGTCAGGAATAATCCCTGAGCATCGCTGGGTGTGACCCAAAAAGGAAAAAAAAAAAGAATACCTGAAGTCCATATCAAGAGAGAAAGACGGAAATGTGAAGCCCCTTCATTCCCACGAGTAAGCTGGAACCAGCCACCTGAAATTCCCCAAGGATGGATCCTGAGAGAGTGAGCAAGCTTGAATTAAAGGCTGAATGAAAAACCAAACCAGAGCCAGTGCGATAGTACAATGGGGAGGGCACTTGCCCTGCACATGGCCGACCAGTGTTTGGTCCCCAGCATCCCATATGGTCCCCCGAGCATTGCCAACAGTGATTTCTGAATACAGAGCTAGGAGTAACCCATGGGCATTGCTGCTGTGGCCACAATACAAACAATTGTAGCACTGTAGCACTGTCTTCCCATTGTTCATCGATTTGCTCGAGCGGGGTACCAGTAACGTCTCCATTGTGAGACTTGTTGTTACTGTTTTTGTCATAGCGAATATGCCACAGGTAGCTTGCCAGGCTCTGCCGTGTGGGCGGGATACTCTCTGTAGCTTGCTGGGCTCTCTGAGAGGGACGGAGGAATCGAACCCCGGTCGGCTGCATGCAAGGCAAATGCCCTACCCGCTGTGCTATTACTTCAGCCCTAAATAAATAAATAAATAAATAAGAGAGGTGGGGTACTGAGGCAGGTGAGGGTTTGGGAGAGGTGGAGAGGTAAAGGAGTGTGAAGGTGTCAACAGACTTTGAACCACCTCAAGCTCTAAGTATCCCTAGGAGAAGCTCAGGAACTAGCCCGTGACAATAGACTCACCATCACTCCTGCATCCCAGTGGGTGCCCCCGATCTGGGATTGGGCACCCCCAATCTGCTTATCTGGACTGATCCTTTCTCTGCCACAGAACCCCCGGACCATGGAGAGCAGGCCACTATTTGGATTTTTGTTTTATTGTTATACTTTGAGGGCCACACCCAGCAATGCTCAGGGGTTACTCCTGGCTCTGCACTCAGAGTATTCTGTACTCCCAAATTACTCCTGGAGATGCTCAGGGGACCATATGCGATGCTGAGGGTCGAACCCGGGTTGGTGGTGTGCAAGGCAAACACTCTACCGGATGGTGCTCTATGTCTCCGGCCCCTAGGGCTGGAATTTTAGAACTGATTTTTAGAACCTATGATGGGAGCCTGGGAATCTTTGGGGAACACAGCTGCGGGCTGGTGTGTTTGGGGACTGCAGGGCGGGGGGGGGGGGGGGGGGGCATTGCTTTGCCTGTTGAGAAATGCATCAAGCCTTTCTCCCTGGGGGAGATGACCTCATACTCCATCTTCCGGCAACAAGCACAGCCAGTAACAAAGATTTGCTCTCCGATGTGGGCGCTAAAGGGAGCTCTAAGTCCCCCTCCCTCTTTGGAAAACAAGCTCCCAGCTGCCCGAGGACGCAGTGATGGGGTCCAGAGCCGGAGGAGAGACAGTCTCCTGCCCTTGGGAACTCCAGTCTCTTACTGTTACTAAGGTCCCCAGTCTCTGCTTTGACCCTTTCCAGCCCGACTCCATATGCACACACATTGCTCCGTGGGGGGCTCACTGCAAGACTTCCTTGGCGCTCCCTTTCTCCAATGTGCCCTGGGCGCAAGCCAGTGCTGTGGAAACCGGGGTGAGGCCCTCGAGCCAGCAGCTGCCAGGCGGGCGCGCCGAGCGTTCCGGCCAGCAGAGGGCAGCAGAGCACGCGCGGTCTGCGAGCCTGGGGCCTTTCGCTGTCCCTGGGGAGGGGGGGGACAGGCGCTCCCTTGCTAGCTGGCCCCTTGGCAACGTGTTCTTTTCCAGGGAAACGTTCTCCAGGTGTCCTTCCGGGGAGCACACAGGCTTTCAGCAATGGACAGGTGCCCAGGCCCACCCCCACACCCCCGCCACCCCCCAGCGTTTTGCTCTGTCTGCTTGGGGACAGTTTTGAGGGGATAAAGATGACTGATATCAAGTAACCCAATGATTCTCGATTCTCAATACAATCCTAAAGCAGAGATCTTTGGGATTCCCAGTGGAGATGGTGTCGTTAAGAAACGGTGGGGAGGCGGCTGGGCGGCTGAAGTGATATAGTACAGCGGGTAGGGCGTTTGCCTTGTACACGCGGCCAGCCCGGGTTCGATTCCCAGCATCCCATATGGTCCCCCTAGCACTGCCAGGAGTAATTCCTGAGTGCAGAGCCAGGAGTGACCCCGGTGCATCACAGAGTGTAATGCAA